AGTGAGGACTATTTCAGACAAACATGGAAATAGCCTGACTACTTTAATTCACTTAACAGGTACTGTTTAATCAGGATTCTTGATGAAAAAAATTGTAATTTAAAAACCAGAAGAGACTGGTGGTTTAGTAAACATGTTGCATTCATTTCTGGAAGAGGCTGAATTGTTTTGAGATTTGTGGAGTGATTTTTAGGCATATAATTTACCAAATAAAAGCATCTGATAAGCTCCACTGGGGCATCCCAGTTCACCAGCTAGTCACTGAAATGCTAAACCCTCCATCACCTTTGTATATCAGAAAGGGGAGAGCATGATAAATGTTTTTTGATCCTTGAAGCTTGAGCCTGAAATCAATGAATGCAGGGATTAGTACCTAGCTTTTAAAAATACAAATATATGATTTGATTTGTTTCTGGTAATCTGAGCTTGTTTTCCTTGTAACCTCATTTACCTCCTATAAATAATTAATGTTACTGCATTGCAAAAACAGCCTAGGTTTCATGTTAATCAGCACAGAAATCATGTCAGCTTGACTTACTCACTTAATAAGGCTTCCTGGGTAAGCAGCTTTATTGAAAACACACATTGGAAACTATTGGTCAACTGGCTGCCCAGGCCAAGTCAGAAAATCCCACTTTTAATATGGATGATGGAGCCTGTGTGCTGAGCTGCACTTCTAACTCAGGCAGATATCCAGAGGGAGGGTGAAGGACCTAATTAACTTTCTGTTAAAGTAACACAGACCTTTCAGAGGCAGGTGCACTCTGAGGCCAAAGAGGATGGAGTGGGCTTGGGAAACTTAATGTTCCACACGTAATTATAATTACGTTTGTGTGGCCTTATAGCAAACCTCTGAGGGAAATAGGGGTTGTTATGCTCATTTCACAGTCGAGGTCACTGTGGGTCAGGTAGATTCAGCGATGGAAATGCAAAGACATAGAGCTGATAGCGCAGACATAAAACCAGTTCTTCTCATTCTAAATCCTGGGTTTTATGTTTTTTCTCTTCCTTTTCCATCATAGCTACAGGAAGAAAGAAAGGCACTTTGACTTCAGGAGATGTGGATCAGTAGAGCTAAGTCACTAGGAAGTGGCCATCGTCCCAAAGGATGCTAGTTTAGGCATTTTCTGCTGTGCCTTTTAACTTTCATTCCAGGATTCCTTCCACTTCCAATTTTTTTTCTTGCTGCTTTCACCCACTTATTCCCCCCACCCCCTTTTACTCCGCTTCCTTTTTCTCTTCCTTCTCTTTCTCTCCCTCTTCATCATCATCATTATCACTGGGACACACATGCATGGAGAGGTAAGGAGGAAGGGAGAGAAGAAAGGAGAGTGTCCTGAGTTGCCCCTGACAGTGGACCCCAGCCTAGCCTTTTAGTTGACCTTTTTTAACATCCTCACCTCTCTACCTCTGGATTTTAGACCAGCTCTGTCAGTCCTCACCCCCATCAAGAAGTGAGATCAGGAATTATTGGTATCAAACACATTACATAAGCTCTCTGATCTTCCATTTCCTCTTTGATAAAATTGGGATATGATATATTTTATATGGTTCTTGTAAGACAAATAAAAATATGAGAAAGGGTTTTGTAAACTTCAAATGCTATCAAATATTATCCATATATTTATTTATCTTGTGTTTATTCTTGGGTTTTCTTATCTAATCAATTTATACATGTTTGCTTATTCAAAAATCAAAATTGTTTTCTCACAGGNAGATGGTAATAATTACCACTTATTAAATGCTTTCTGTGGTCTTTGGGTGTATTATCTTGATTAATTAATCAGAATAACCTATGAGGAAACCATTGCTATTATTACCATTTTAAATTTGAGGAAACTGAGGCTTCGCAGGGTTAATCAATTTAACAAAGTTATTTAATCAGCAAGTTACATAACTAAAATATCATTTGTTTGATCCTAAAGCTAATGCTTGTAATTAGTGCACCAAACTTTACTCCAAAGCTATATAGGTAGGAAAAATAATCTTTTTTTTAAAAATAAGCTGCTTCTATGTGGATAGAAGATTGTTATTTTCATAATTATAATTTCTTGTTAAAATGTTGTTTTCTAAAACTCTAAAGATATGTGAGATGACAGCAGTGAAATGGATTTAAGCATTTTGAAAGATGAACACTTTCAAGCAACAAAGCATTGATCTGTGATCTAGCCTGTATCTACATAGTCTACATAAGTGATGTACAATAGAAAGCTGAGCTTTTGTCAAAGGAAAGAGAGTCTTCTCTCAGGTAATATTGCAGAGCTAGGGTGTGGGCCAGTCTGAGTCATAGAGGCAACAGGGTGTCCTATGTAAAGACAATTTGAACAGTGTCAAAACGTACTTCGACTTCCACCAGCTCTGGCCTTTGGCAGATATGACGTCCTTATGTACCCACCAGGAAAACAGCCACTGAGAATCATTTTAAACCTTTTGCATAAACCAACTAGTTCAAATCCTGGCTCCACCATCACTAGCAATGTGAGCTTGAACAGGTTACTCTATGCCTTAGTTTCCTATTTTGTAAAATGAGAATTATAATAGTGTCTCTTTTATAGGGATGCTTTTAGGATTGAATGAATTAATACATGTAAATTGCTTAGAAGAATGACAGCACATACTAAATATCCAATCAGTGCTGGATGTGATTGTTCTTATCTGTGAGTTTGTCTTTATCCCTCTACAATATTCTTTGCAAAGATTCTCTGAATAAATGTCAAATGACATGTACACATGATTATTCATTCAGTTTTATGAAAGATTAGAAAAA